GGCGGTTACCTCCGGGTCCGTGTGTCCCCCTCCCTCCCCGTGCGGGGGCGAGGGGCCGAGGTGCGGGGGAACACCGCGCCGGGCCTGCTGGCCCGCAGCAAGGCGCTGAGCATCGGCGAGGTGCCTGAGATCCGGTGCTTTGCGTTCGATTCTGAGCAAGCGTTTATGGAGTTTTAATTTTTTTAATTTTTCTTTGTAAGTGTCGGTTGTCTGCTTACCCAGTCCGAACGGGCTCAGCTGTGGGAAGTCAGCTTGCCGGCTGTTCAGAGGTTACGCGCTCTGGACGGAACCCGAGGTGGCCACGTCCGAGTGCTCACCTACAGTACCTGAAAACACCACAACCGTGTGGTCATGTGGACCCTGTTACGGCACAGCTGTAGCATGTTTAGCTTGTCCAAGCCCTAGCCAAGATGGGAAAGGAACAGTAGTCACCGTTCTAGGCAGAGATGGGATCAGGTGGGAGCCACACAGACTCGTGTAGCAGAGAGATGTAGTTATGGGTGGCAGTTACAGCAAAAAGCTGATAGGGCTGTTGTTTGCCTTGCCACTGACCTTGGGGAATTCTAGCAGCTGTAACTTGAGGTTTCCTGCCGTAAAATGTACAGTGTCCTTTGCGGCAGTGTTAGTGTATTCAGGGACTGCGTAAAAGTGATGCAAAAGAACAGATTTCTTATGCGTGTAGTTTATTACAGTAGAAAAAATGGTGATTATTGGATTTCCTTACAATATGGGGCTTTCTGCATATTTTGGGCAGCGAGTTCAAAGGAAGAGCTTTCTGATTACTTGCAGGTGATCTTCCCAGGCAGCAAAACATGGCTGCTTATGCTTGTGTAACCACTGCATTCTTGCAGGTGACTTCACATACCCGTTGTTTTCAGTGGGGGATTGTCACGGGCATTAACTCGTTTCATAAGTGTTTCTGTCTTCAAGAAAATCCCTGTACTCGTTTTCTAAACTTTGTGGAGTAAAGGACACAATTTTCCTACTTTCAGTAACATGCGTTGTTCTAAACAACATGTTAAGGGATTCCCATCAAAATGGGAAGCTTTGCTCTTGCCTTTTGTGGCAGAAGGAATAGTGCTGGAGGAGTGATTACAGCTTGCTGGTGAAGTCTTCCCATTAGAGCTCAGCCACATTGCTATAAGGCTAGGATCCTAAATGTTAATGTTCGTCTTCTTCCCTGGAGTTGGTTTGTGCGGATCATGTGGAATTCTGCTGAGTACATTTACATGGTACTGAATGTTTTTGTTCGAAAGTGTCAGTGCTGAGGTGAATAAAGGCAGAAAACTGAACTGGCAGGCACATGTAGACCTGTGCCTCTTTTATAATGCTAGCTGTGTACAGATTATTTTATTGTCACAGCTGTATTTGTGCGTGCTTGAGGAGGGAAGCTTTGCAAGCACTGCAGCAAGCAAGCAAGTGGAGGTGTGACTCTAACCCTTCCCTTAGTGTAATGCCTTAATTGTATAGCATGTGACCATCTAGGGTTGTTAGGGGGTGTTTTTTTCCTTCCTGTGCAAGGTACAGATACGCAAACAATGAAAAAGCTAAAGCTGTGGCCAAAACATATCGCAGCTTACAGCTTCTGATAGTTAAACCAGGTTGTTGAAAGTTTCAAGGCTATGACTGGCAGCCATTGCCTTAAAAAAGACTCTCTTGTGTTTTGAGTGCCTGCATCTCAAGGGGCTGTTGGTAATCGCATTTTCAGAATGCATTTTTCTTCCTTCTTCTGGAAAACAGAATCTCTCTTACAACAGTAATAATTAAAACCCGATGGTAATGCCTGCATGTCGTCACTCATTGTAAAAATATTTGGTGTATAAGTGCTATGGCAAAAGCGCAGGAGGCTGTGTTTGCCTGTCAGCTGTGGGAGTGCCCCCTGATGTCACTGGGGTTTTTTCCTTCCTTACCATATAAGGAGAGAAGTCCTGCTCCGCAGAAGACTAACTTGGGCCATATAAGGCTGGTTGGTAAACCCTCATTGAGTTACTGGAGCAGGAAGTAAAAACTTGAACTTTAGTCACCCTGTGTTTTCTAAGTGTATTGTACGCTCTTATCATGATGAGGAGTCTTGACATGATAATTATTAACTTGTAACACCATAAATTCCTCAAGCGTAACATTTATGAAAGGTTATTTTCTTTCTTAAATCAGAATATTCAGATTCTTGCTGTTTAAAGCCAGAAGTCTGAAAACACACGTTTGGAGTACAGCTGCTTGATTACTGAGCTAAAGATGTCACATTTGGGTTAATGTGGATCTCTAAGGATGAAGTCTCCACTACTCCTGGTTCTACATGTTCACCATCAATACTCATTAATGTTCAAATATCTATTTGTTTCCCTTTTTATGCGTTACTTTCTAGTGGGGCAAAGTTACTGTTATGTCAAACATTGTTCTGCTTATCTGGTGTGTAAATTATTCTTACTTATGTACAGCAACATTTTAGCTGTTGCCAACTATATCCAGCTGCCTCTGGTTAGCAGAAGCAACAAATAACAGTTCCTAAGATTTTTTAATTAAAGAAAAAATACCAGACTGATACTTGTGGTATCTGCTTTTGATAGAGGGTTGGTTCTTTCCCCTTCAGCTAGACATCATAGGAAATTCAGATGTGTACTTCCTCATATATAGCAAGATTGTTTTCAGTACTAATTAAGAGTAACTGTTACTCTTGGAAGTCATTAAATTTTTAGGATAATGACCTTTTTCTATGTATTTTGTGCTTAATATCCTTATGAAAGAAATAAAATTTAATAATGAGGTTACTGCGGGAAGGCTATTATATAGAACTTATTCTGCAACTTAAGCAAGTGTAGGTTTGAGCATGTCAGAAGTAAAAGCTTGTAACGATACGAGGCAGATGAGTTGCAAGTGTTACATAGAAGGTGAAGTGAACAGGTAATGCAAGACAGGCAAATCTGGGGGAAGTGGCAGTATGGGGGGAAAAACCCCAGATGTTTTAAGCAATTGTTGTCCGTACCAGAGCCCTTCCGAGGTGTAGGCCCTGCTGATCCCTTCTTTGTCAGCTCTTGCATAGCTTGTCTGTAAACAAAGCTTGTGGGTATTTGGGCATTTCTTAAACATCCTCATGCTCTCTCTGTATCAGCTGTCTTGTTGCAAATGCTGATCTAGGTGTGTTTTTGGATGTTGACACTGAACCCTTCTTATGGAACGCAAGGAAATACTGGGACAATTCTTCTCAAAATATGGCAAAAGATCATAATAAAGGGTTTGGAATAATATAGAAGAATCGAGTAATTAGTTTGTGTTGATTCGATTAAAAAAAAGGCAGGGGGGAGACTACGATTGACTAATGTCTGCCAATACAATAACAGAAGATATTTGGGGAACAATGCATAATTCTTCCAGTGCAGTTCCTTCTAGTACAAATTGTACAGTCCTTAATGTGCTTCATGTAAAGGAGGCATTAATCACTTTTTCCTCTGTTAAGCAATAACTTCACAATTCAATGAGGGCGTGTATATATCTGTGTACCGGCTTTTTAGTGAATGAAGTCAGAAATTGCTGAAGTGCTGTTCTATGGCACTAGCAGGTACATGGGACAATGTTTTACAAGAGGTGGTGTGCGCCTTATTGTGAATTAATATCTGTTCTTCCTGTGCTTAGGCTGAGAGCGAAGTAGCTTCTCTGAACAGACGCATCCAGCTGGTTGAGGAAGAGTTGGATCGGGCTCAGGAGCGCTTGGCTACTGCCCTGCAGAAGCTGGAGGAGGCCGAGAAGGCTGCAGATGAGAGTGAAAGGTGGGTGGGGCCGCTCTTGAATGGATTGTTACCCTTATGACAAAGGTGATAGTTGCCAGGGTATGGGTTAGGGAAGTAAACTAAGCCACCTATGTCTCTGAACCTGCCTGCTCTTCCTTTGCCTACATGGACTTCAGTTACAGCTTGTCTCTAGGGGATGTCCAAATGTGTAGGCTTGAATTCTTTTTTGTGTCTCAGATGCAAAGATAAGATTTAAGCACGGTAGGGCTTTTGATGTATCATGCTGCATTCTGGGAAAGCGTTGTGACCAAGCCTAGACTTCTCTACTTGGAGGACAACTTTTTGAGGGTGATGTGTACTTTTGTGCTGTTGGGTGATTCTTGATGTGATTGTGGGCAGAAAATCCCACCTGGAGAACAGCAAAGTGCTGGAAGAGGCTTTGGTTCTCCTATGGGTGAGATTGGTACAGGAAGGTGAGCAAAGGAGAGCGAGCATGATAATTCCTTCAGATTTAGGCGGGGATTTCCAGAAGTACTTCATGTAAGTTGGGAACTCAAGATTTATCGCTTTGGAAGAGGTCCTCTTCTACAAATTGTATTTTGTATCTGTGATAGTACTTTCTGTTGGGAAAGAATCCTTCGTATTCTGCGTATGTATTTCTACCTCAGTGACAGTACAGCCTGCTGAAAAGCACCTGAAACTCACAGTGTATTCTGAAGTAGCGAAGAGAGTTTGGGTCAAGTGTGCAAGGGGTAATAAATATGCAATGTTTCCTGTTATGGAGGAGTTAAATTTTGCTTGTGCAGGACACAGAGAGCTTCAGTGCTCTAGGGCTCTGACATGGCAAAACTCATGGGAGTCTGTCTGGCCCAAAAACATAATGCCTGTCAGTCCTGCAGGGGTTGTAATGTGCTGTTTCACAATGAGTGTGAAGCACAGGTGCCTGCAGTCATCTTATTAGGTCTTTAGAAGCAAGACCCTTTATTTACCTTTCTATAAGATCAGTTTTCGTTCAATTTAAAATGAAAAAGAGTAGTACAGCTGAGCTGTGGTAAGAGCTAAACAAATTAAATTTTCTTTCTTCCTAAGACATGCTGCTTTCCTTTGAACTTCTGAAGTGTGAATGCACAGGACTAGATCTGTGGTGTGACAAATCCAAGTATCTGAGGTGCTTCGTTCACCTTAATACACCTGTCTGAAAGTCACACTCCAGCAGTAGTAGAGTTGGAGATAAACTGGCAAGCCCTGAACCTTGAGTTTCCTGGTTTTTGCGTCTTTCAGGGGAATGAAGGTCATTGAAAATAGAGCCCAGAAGGATGAAGAGAAGATGGAAATCCAAGAGATCCAGCTTAAAGAAGCTAAGCACATTGCTGAAGAGGCTGACCGCAAGTATGAAGAGGTCAGTTCTTGAATGCAGGTCATCTGTTTCTAAAGCCCTTTAGGCTGTGCCTGTGATTCTTTTTTTTTCTTTTTTCTTTTTTTCCCTTTGCCTTTTAAATTCAGAAGATCACAAACACTACTCTTTGCAGCTGTGGAAGGAAAAATGAACACCCAGATACCTCAAGGGACGAGGTGGCAGGAGATCTGCGCTCAGATCTTTGCACTAAGATGGTTGAGAGTATTCCCTGATCTCTTAGGGATAAAAATACTTTTCAGTTGCCTTTTGGTGAATGAAAGAGAGGTCTTGACAAATGTCAGATAACAAAGACTCAAATGCATAATGAATATGTCACATAATCAAAAACATGTTGACCAAGAAATGGAAGAAGGCCCAACTCCCTGCTTTTTTGGTTCTAGAAACAGGTGACGTGTGCTGCAGCAACATAACACGCCTGATTGTCATGTGCCTCTTCTTGTAGGTGGCTCGTAAGCTTGTGATCATTGAGAGTGACCTGGAGCGGGCTGAAGAACGTGCTGAGCTATCAGAAAGGTAAGTGTTGAACCGCCCTGAGACGTGTGTGAGGTGCTGCAAGACAGCGGTAACAGCATGAAACGTTGGCAGTACACTGTGCGTTCAGCTCAAAGCTATGTTCTGCTCATTTGTTCTAATGGTTGAAATAAATGGTCAGTGCTGAAGTAAATGTGTTCATACGTGTGTGCGCGTGTGTTTTGTCACTGCATGCTGTACCTGCACACTGATTTTGTGAATGGCTTTTGTGCATTTCATGTGTTCACTAACAGCCAAGTCCGACAGCTGGAAGAACAGTTAAGAATAATGGATCAAACCTTGAAAGCATTAATGGCTGCAGAGGATAAGGTACTGATACTAATAAACAGTTCTTAGGTTTAACTGCAACCCAAGTCTTTCAGCTTCCATAGCTGGTTAGCTCACTCAGTAGTAACAAGACCTCGCTACACTCTTTGCTCTCTTTGCATCTTGCTTTGGTGGTTTTCTGTGGTCTCTTTTTTGTTTATTTATTCATTTTTGCCTTTTAAACTGGTCTCCTGTGCAGCCAAAAAGAAGCTGAACTGTCTCACGTGTAAAGGCTATGTAAATATTTCTGTGTAAGCCAAGGGCCGTAGCTGATTTCTGTCTGGTCATCGTCTTAATGTACACTTGAAATGGAATTCGGCATCGTAAAGAGTTGCTTTCAATCCGTGATGGATTCAGCTGCTTTTGAGGCCGTTCTTTTGCTCTGTAATTGTTTTCATTTTTCTCTATCTTTTCCCCCTGTTTTCTCCTGTTTCTTTTGCTTGACTGAATCTCCCATGCGCCCCTTTCCTGCCTTCCTTCCGAAATAACAGCAAATGTGCTGAGCTTGAAGAGGAGTTGAAAACTGTGACCAACAACCTGAAGTCGCTGGAGGCTCAGGCTGAGAAGGTAGGCTAGAGGCTTACATGAGAACATTGTCATCTGGACTGGCCTGTGGGGTGTTCGTTATACGCTGATCACTTTGCAGCATTTCAGCAAGGCCGTTGTCAGTAGAAGCATTTAGACTTGCTACTCAATCTGTATTTGGCTCTTATCGGAACCTAGCATTCCTTCTGGTTCCAAATAGGTCAGTATTACTTGACCACGTATTCTGTTAAGTAGCCTGACAGGATTAAATATTATTTATAGAATGTCCCTCAAAATGGCACTTGTGTGCTAACATTGAATTTCTCCAAATGCCATTCCTCTTTAAAACTGTAGTACTAATTCCTACTCAAAGTTCCCACCAGGTAGCACTGGAATAGAACTCAAGGGAACTTTGGCTCTTGTCATAAACGGTGTATTACCACAGTCTGCTAAGTGAAATTAATTTAGTTGTACCCATATTGATTTCTGGTATGCAGTTGATCTATTAGAAGAGAATCTTGAATGTGAGTTTTTTTGGTATCTTTAGAATACCTGGTCTAATATCGGTGATCCTCTTTCTAATTACAGTACTCGCAGAAAGAAGACAAATATGAAGAGGAGATTAAAGTCCTGACTGACAAACTGAAGGAGGTAAAATTGGAGCTGTTCTTTACAACAGATCTTCCAAGGCAACTGTGATTCTTTCAATATCAATGCTACTTTGATGCTTTAAGGATGAACGCATCATTTTGGAGACAGCTTAGTGTTAAATGTCTCGCTAGTACCATTTTGTTATGTGTCTCCTCTCATTGTACTTCTTTCCTCATTTGAATTGTTGCTTTTCTATTCGTAAGTACTATGTGTGTGTTTCCTAACGTCGTTTGTATTTGTCTCGACTTCAGGCTGAGACCCGTGCTGAATTTGCTGAGAGGTCAGTAACCAAGCTGGAGAAGAGCATCGATGACCTAGAAGGTATGGGGTTCTGTTTTTCTCGCTTACTATAGAAATACAGTTCTTCTGTTCTTCTGTTACTTTTTTTTAGTACTCAATTCTACTCACCTAACTTGTCCTACTCATGTAAATGATTCTGCCTGAAGAGTAAAAATAGTCAAAATGTTTTCTGATTGAAATGTATTGATAACTTAAATGCTTCAGGTGAGCAGTGTTTTGCTCTTGCGCGTTCCTTTTTCTCTCATGTTCTCAAGACTCCTTTCATTTTTTTCATTATACTCTTCTTGGAGGTATATAAATGTATAGGGTAAATGAGTAGATGATAAGTAGTAGTATTCTGTTACTGAAAAGCTGATGAAGAGCTGTGTTATGTTTGTAATAATCAGGAATGTGGCAGGCTAACCTAATTTATTTAATGTGATAACTGTGGGTCGGGGCAGGCATTTTGTGACATAGACCAGTTGCTGTTTCTCAGTAAAGCTAATGGTTTGTATACATAATCAGAAGGAAAACTTATTTAACTTCAGAGAATTTGTTTCAAGGTTTTGATAAATTTTTTGGAACTGTAGTAGAATAGTAGAATGTGCTTTCTCCCTTCAGAGAAAATAATTGAGTAGTGCTTTGTAATTAAAAGTTTTGTAGAGTTTACTATTTAGGTGTGTTAACACCGAGTCTAGGGGTTGTAAGAAGCTTGATTGCTTGGCACGACAGGCTGGCTTCTGCATAAAGGGTATGAAATGCCAAGGTAGCTGCTGAAAGTTTACGACCACTGACTCAGGAAGGAAGCAGAGAAGAAAGATAAGTGTTTAGAAGGAACAAAAATTGCTGTAACAAACTGGGTTTATGACATCACACAAACCAGAATGATTGGGGTTTTTTTAAAAAAAAGCGGTATAAAATAAATGGTAGCATCCTCCTTGAGCCTCATTTTTTGGATCTCTTCTCCCTTGCTTCTGTGTGCCCTCCTAATGTGTGTTAAAACAAAAATCCAGGGCAGCAAAACATGGGCTTTGCTTCGCTTGTACACTTTCTTTCCTTCGTTTTCTCTGTATCACAGGTTGCCCCACTGGCAGTGCAGTTAATGAACTTATCGCATAAAACTGTTCTCTATTGGTTTTTTGTTCTTCTCTAATTTTGTAATTATTGTTTTGTCTGTCGCATCACCTCTTTCTGTGCGCTATTCCCCTTTCCTATGACTTCTGGATGGTATCCCATGCCACCACCTTCACCTTCCATCCCATGGTTGCACTCCATTTCCTTGCACACCTCTGCCTTCCCTGGGGGAATGTTAGATGAGCTGTATGCTCAGAAACTGAAGTACAAAGCCATCAGTGAGGAGTTGGACCACGCTCTCAATGATATGACTTCCATGTAAATGTCTTCCCAGCTTGTGCCTGCACCTGCTTCCCTGTCCTCGTTGATTGCGCGGTTCCGGCCTTGTGAAATTATACTCCCTCTGTAGCGGGAGACGCATTCCTTTAGCGAGACTAGGTGTACAAAATACCATGAACAGTTTCTTTACCGTGGCAGAGTGTGGGTGAGTGTTGTGCTGAGCCTGGTAAATACTCATGGTGATTTTGTAAGCTGCCTAATAAGCTCGTGTTTACTCTTTCGTTCTGTATCTGCAATCCTGGTGTCTTGTGGATGCCTGTTGGCTGTAGCTCTGCATTTATCCTTTCAGTTCACCTCTGTTTCAGCGTTGTCTGCCAGGCCTGTTGTGTTCAGTTAATCAAAGAAAATTGCCTTGGTACATGCTGCATTCAAAGTGTATTGTTCTGCTGTCACAGTTTTTGTCTAGCAAAGTTCCTACAAAAGTTTCAAAGAAATCTGAATTTAGCTGTATTCTCTGTTAATGACAGTGGAAAGTCTTTATCTAAATTTGCTTAACTGCCCGGAAAATTTCAGCTGCTATCACCAAATTACAAGCGTGGAAATTGACTTAAAATAGTTTGTCATTTAAACTCAGAAAAGTGACAGTTGAAATATAGGTTGTTTCTGCATATTTTGTGGAGAGTAGTAGTAATTTAATTTGCTTATACCAAAAATGTGGTAATACCAACTACAGTCATAAGGAGAAAAATAGTGCATTGGGCAGCAGGAAAGTGATCGATTGTAAGGTATGACGGATCCTTGCAGTGTTTGATGCAAGCTGAGACTTCTTCCTTCAACCTAAAACTCTGAACAGAGGTCAGCTGTGCTAAATCCACCTTCCCATGCTCATACCTCTCGCTTGCATGAACCCTGTACAGCTGGCATGGGAAAGAGGAAGAGTTGTGGCTCTCAAGTGCTGGTGAGGTGTGTTGTTTAGTCCTAGCATCTCTTTTTGGAAGCTAGCATGCTTTTAGCAAGGCATAAGCTTTGCTCAGAGCTTGGAATGTATTTTGCATGCACCCATATTTTAGATGTCTTGTCTTCTGCTTTTTTCATCCCTGTATCTAGTCATTACTTCCCTCCTGCTCTCCCAACGTTTTAGTAGGGGTCTAGTGTTGTCTGCTTTGTATGCTTTGATCCCCCCCCCCCCGGTTCCCCCCTCCCCTCCAATGCCCCTTCCTCAACCCATGCTTTTGCTCAGTGGCTTATTGAGCAGATGGATTTCTTTTTCCTCCTCTGTATACAGAGATTACAGTATGTCTTCAATTTTGGGATATTTCTAAACGGAAAACAGACTTTAAAATGTACTCTGCTGGTACATGAGGATGTTACTGTAGCATTCCAGTCCCAGCATGGTGTGGTGTTTCTCTAGTAGTCATTCTGGCATGTTGGGCTCTGCCATGCTGTTGCTGCTTTTTTGGGAGTCTTTACTGCACCTTTTTTTATTTCCTACCTTATCTCACTTTTTCTTTTCATGCAGATAATTTTCTTTGCTTCACTTCTCCAAAGACATCTTCATCGGGTTGGATAAAACATCTTTCCAAGCTTTGGATGTTTCATGGGTTCATTGTCCTGTCTTCTAGCTTAGTTCACTCTATTCCTCTAGCACCTGTCTCAAAACATGCTCTGTTTGTGCTCTGCTGTACAGAAACTCTACATCTCGCAATGTAAAATAAACATCCCAGCTGTATCCCTTTTGCTATTCCCTTGCCTTTTATTTATTTCAATAACTATTTCAGTTATTAATAAAAATTGCTTTTTTTGCCATTAGGGATTTAAATTTTTTTGGTGTTTCCATTTTTTGCCTGCAAACTATTCTGTCTGAATGTTGACAATGCAAAGTCAGTGATAGGAGTCGATGGGAAGAGAATACTATGCTTGGTATTTTGAGGTCAAATCTGACCGGTTATGATCTTGGTCTTTCTCAAAATCTGATGAAGATAAAATGACAAATAGATATAATTAGGGTTTTTTCAGTTGTTATTGTTAGGCCAAAATCTGCAAGGACACTACTTCCTTGGGGTCACTAGGTCGTGGGAGCATGGCTGAGAGAGCAGTTAAGTCCTCAGCACCAGATTTTTCACTTTACAGTCCAAAATTTTCTCCTAGCTTGATGCTGAAGACTTCCTGTCTTTATATGAATTTGTTTGTTCATTAACTTAAATATTTGAGATGGATTTAAAGGGGCAATATCAAAAGCAGTAAATTGGTCCTCTAAATAAAGTTCTCCCCTCTTTCACACCCTGATTACTTGGCAAAGCTGTCACTTCGTAACTTTTTTTTTTTACAATATGCTTTTCTTGAGTGGCATGATAAGACTGGAAGTTCAGCAG